TCGTACCCTAAAAACTGAATTACTCACAGATTTATAGAAAACAGAATCGCGATCTCCACTCGAGTGCGGGAATGGCTGCTCAAGCGGTCTGACTAAAACACGTGTTTCAGAACAAAGATCTATGCTCGCGCGCAGGAAAGGCCACTCGAGCGTAAAAACACAACTCCCAGTACTTTTACAAGCGAGTGAAACTTCTAAAAGGATTAGATCTTTGCTCGAGCGCACAATCAACTGCTCGAGTGGTCAAACAACTTCGGCTGCAATTTTGCTTTTTGCTTTAGGGGCGTTGCCCCTCGACTCTGCCTGGGCACTGCCTCGGGCCTGCCATGGGGCGCTGGCCCCTAGACTCCTACGATCTAACCAAGCAGCTCGATCCCCGACGTAGTCAATGAAGTGGCAAATAAGATAGGATTAAGATTACAAACTCCTCTGGCCCCTGGACTTCCGCGAGCTAGGGGTAGGCGCAGGTCGATTGCGGCCACGAAACCTTCAATTCGCCATCCGTCTGCTAGATTGGTGGATTGGAGAAAATCAATCCGCATTCGTCCGCCAATCTGGCGGATGTAAATTGAGCGGTTCGGCGGTTTGACGGATGGATACGAAAATTTTATAAATTTTCAAAATAATTCAACTTGTGCACTTCCTCAAAAAAAGAAGAAGAAAGTATTACAGTCAATGACTTAAAAAAATATTACAATCACTGCATGCCTCATCTAAAGCAAGAAAGTTTGAAATTTTAGAATATTGCATGCTTCATCCACATAAAGTATTACAATCTGTGGTTCTTAAAATATAAAAGCAATTCAAACCAACAAAACCATGAACAAATCAGTAGTAGAGATTGTATGTCTCTGTATTGTTACATCTATATCTGTTTTTGAAAACAAAAACCAACCAGCATATATCATATTTTCTATTTATTATTTTTAGAGATAGATTTAAAAATCAAAAAATATAGATAAATAATACGTTTATTTTTTTAATTCAAAAAAGATATTCAAGTTGAAATTTTTTTTTAACAGAATATTTAAACTCTTTTTAAATTGAAAATACAAACAAAATATTTAAACAAACTGAAAATACAAAATCTTATAAATTACTAGGGGTGCTCGCGGTTTGGCGATTCGGTTGCGGCCAAAGGAATCTCAAATCCGCCATCCGTCCGCCAGATTGGCGGATTGGAGAAAATCAATCCGCAACCGTCCGCTCGCCATCACGCATCCGTCCAAAATGCGGCGGATTGGTTTGGTTCGGTCGGTTTTAATGGATCGATATATCCGCTGCTCACCCCTACCGCGAGCTAACCAAGCAGCTCGATCCTCGACGTAGTCAATGAAGTGACAAACAAGATAGGATTAAGATTACAAACTCCTCTGTATAGGCACAATTCGGGTTGGATTCGTATCTAAATACTCATAACCTCACTTAAATAAAAGATCGAATAAAATTACAACTGAAAGAAATCTTATCAAACGAGATTATCAATTACAAAAACCTAACAAAATCTAAACTAGTCATACTCAATGTTCAACACTATCCAACTCTCTTCCTCAATTAGTTAGTTGAGAGTTAGAGACTTATCTCTATTTACTCAATCATAAATAGTGTATTTGATAAATTTATAAATAGGCTTCTCTAGTCTGAAATTAGACTAAAGCGTACTGTTAAATTTCGTGGGTTTATCATGAAATTCACATCGATAATCCGAATCGTTCAATGTGTGAGACTTGTTGAGTACTTCATCTTTGCAAAACAATCATATTGATCGAATATCAATAACCACTTCATTAGATCAAATTTGTGCCAATTGTAAATATGATTTTAAAAATAAATTATTGACACGAATGTGATTTGATCAAATCGCTATTGATATTCGATCAATGTGATTTTTTAAAAAGATGAGGTATTCGACGAGTCCTACCAATTACACAGTTTAGATTATCGATGTGAATTTTGTGATAGGTCCAGAGAGGCCTAACAACAAGCTTCAGTTGGGCCCAACTGGAGACAATACTTTCCCAAATAAATATTAAAAGAAAAAATAGATAAGTGCCTATGTAAAAGCAAATTTTGTACTGGTTTTAAACTTTTTAAAAATTAAAACTTCAAAGCTAGGGCAAAAATGTTTAAGAATAAGTTTATGAATACAAAGATATATAATTAGATACAGAATATATATGAATAACTAATTTTAAAAGGAAAAAGCAAATCTCATCCGTTATAAACATTTTAGAATATTGTACATGTTAAGCACACAAATTGAAATTTAACTAAATTATAAACTCTAGGGATCTAGCCTAAAATCAATCAATCTCATTTATGATTATGATTATCTAATCAATTTAATTTTTTTTAGATGATTTAATTACTAGAAACAACAATGTTAAATAGTTAAAGATAAATAACTAAAAAAAGTACTCATAAAAATACATCTACAAACTATAATTACTCTATGTGTGGTCCACATGTGACTATTTTTAAATCTATATCATACATTACACTTTTAAAATAATTTTTTAGATAAATTTATAATAAATAGCATTTTCTTACAAGAAAAGCTTATAAAATGATGAAATTCCTTTGGCACACACCGCTATGTAAATTATTATGCATTTTTTTACTATACTTATATGTTTTTGTGAAAAATATTATGCAATCATCTGAAAAAAAATTACAACAAATTGTGTTTAAAAAAAATTATAACATTATCATAAAAATTTGTTAATACACAACGATTTATGGTTTAAAAATATTTCAATGAAAAAGATATGGGGGATGCACCAATAAATCCCAAATTAATAACTTATGCACTGTTTAGTCCTAAAAGTTTTCTTATAGACTGAAAGGTCCCATTATAATGTTAATAACATCAGATACAATGTTAATAACATCAGAGTCATGTTACAAACATTAGATTTCAAACATCTAATGTTCATCAAATTTCAATAATGTTTGAAAATATAGGATGAAAAACATCTAATATTCATCAGATTTCAATAAATTTTGAAATTATAGAATGAAACATCAGATCATTCACATCATGTTGATGTAAAAATGGGACTAAATGGAGCATAAGAAAACTTTTAGGACTAAATGGTTCAACGTTTCAAAAACTAGGACTTATGAGTAAATTTTCCAAAAGATTATATCATTAGAATACAAATAACGTAATTTTATTTTTAAATCACATGTTTTCTAATCCTATTAAAATATTACCTAATAAAATACTTAATGTATGTACAAAAAAAAGTTATACAGCGAAATACACCGGACTCAAAATTCAAACCTTAGGTTTAAAAGAAAATTCTTAGCAGTTGAGCAACACATATTGTGATATTAATTTTTTTAATCATTTTTTATAGGCCTCGTTCCAGGCTTATAGTATAAAAAATGGGAATGGCTTCCTTTCATATCTTTATTTTTCATGCCTCTCCATACTTTTTTTTATAGCTCTCATTCCAGACTTATAATGATTATTCAAACTGTTCAATTTGAAAAATCAACAGTAAAGATGAATTGTGTGAAAAATTAATTTTATTGGATATAAATAGACACATTAATAAATTAAATTTATTTTTTTAAAATGAACAACAATTATGAGTTTAAACTTAAATCGTCTATTTTATGAAAGAAAGAAAAAATGTTGTTCATTTATTTATCGATTTTCGATGAAGATATTTTTTTGCACAAATAATTTTAACTATAAAATTTATTAAAATAAACCATTCAAATTATTATTATGAACTTAAAATGAAATCTACAAAGGTTTCGTGTGGGAAATTGGCTATTTTAGTTGGTTTTTGGGCTATTTTAGTTGATTTTTTTGGTTATTTTAACTTGGCTAAAAAAGTTGTGTTGGAAAGTTTGTTGATTTTTTTTGTAGTTGATTTGATGGTTATAAGAGAAAAAATGAAATGATTATGACTTTAATGTGATATTTTGTCTGGACTATTTTAGCTTATTTTGTCTTTATTGACTATTTTAACCTCTAATCTACTTCCCAAACAAATAAAATATAAAAGAATATGAATGATAATAGTACAGAGGACGGGTTGACAACGTCGAGCCAGGCTGAGTTTGGGCTGGGCCAGCATTACATAATAAAGAATTTTGTGTGTGTTTAAGTCTGATTCGATTCTAACATCGGGCCTCTATGTCTACCCAAGACTAATCTAAAAAATAATTGTAAATCACAAACCCACCTATCGGATTATATGTTGAAAAAAAATTAAAATATTCTATATTTAAATTCAATCACATATTATATTTCTTAAATAAATATATTAATATCATTATAAATTGAAAGATTTTGTGTATAAATTAAAGGATTTCTTAAATAAATTCAATCATATATCACCACAAATGTGAGTTTCAATAAAATCAATAAAGAAAAAAAGTCAAAATCTCAACAAAAAATATATATTTTAATGTATTATAAATAAATATATAATATAATAGCAGATTTGGTCGAGTCAAACTAGATTCAAAGTATAAATCTCAAACTCAACCTATAAATATTTCAAGTTGAAAATGTTAAATCCGACTCTATGTACTAAAATAATCTTCCCAAATCTTTAAAAAAAAATGTGACGGAATTAGGCAAGTTAGACTCATCAACAAATCGATATCCACTCCTAATACAGTGACCACTGACCAGCCTTTCCTGAAAAAAATAAAAATAAATAATAGTATAGAAAGGGTTTCAGAAAACAAATGAATGATACAACTACTTACGATCACGAAGGTCACGTGACAAGAGTAAAACTGCACACAGTATGTACAGACGACTACAACAGTGTACAGTGTACACCCGCAAAACACATAACGAACGTTTAATTAGGGGGTGTACCCTACTCCACCTGGCTGTCAGTTCTTCCTCAAAACAGCATATCATCTATCTTGCGCCGGCAATCGCGTGGCATAGTTTTAGTCAATTCGAAGCAAATCAAAGGACACTTTCGTCATTTCAAACCCACACCTAATTACCAAAGAATTATCCACAAAACACACTCACTCACTCACTCTTACGATCTCATCTTTTCATTATTCACAAATCTTTGTTATGGTTACGTTCTTGACCCCACCACCTTACATAATTACAAAATAACAGCTAGAGAGAGAAACTAGAGACATTGTACACAGAGAGAAAGAGAGAGAGTAGAGTGAGAGAGCTTGATTTCTCGGTTCTTCATTCATTTATAACTCTCACGGATTGTAGCTTTTTCTGCTTCACCTCTGCGAATTTTTTACAACTCTCCGATTAAATTCCGACGAATTTTAAGGCCAAACTCGTTGATTTTGAAAGAGAAAGCTCGATTTCTCTGTTCCTCACACAGATTGTTGCTTTTTGCAAGACTCTTTGATCAAATTCAGGCGAATTTTACGGCGAAACTTGTTGATTTAGTGAGAGAAAGCTTGATTTCTCGGTTCATCACACAGATTGTTGCTTTTGCACGACTGTCCGGTCAAATTCCGGTGAATTTTAAGGCGAAACTCGTTGATTTTCCGATTAAATATTGCCGGAGAAGAAAGTTGGAGGTTGTTGTGTGTTGATCGTGATTGATGATCAGTATGAGCGCCGTGCACAATAGCGTAGAGACTGTGAACGCGGCGGCGAGTGCGATAGTTACGGCGGAGAGTCGAGTTCAGCCAACGACAGTTCAAGTAAGTGCGTGTATATATGTGTGTGTGTGTGTTGCTTCATCGATACTTTTTCGAGTTTTCGTTTCGTCAATCTTCTATTTATTGATAGTTTTTGTTGATATTCGGTTTGAGTGATATAATTTCGAGTACGAATTTCGCGTTCATATGGATTTGGTGTTGCTTTATCCATGTTTTTTTTCCTCGAGTTTTTGATTCGTGAATCTTGTATTTATTGATGGCTTTTGTTGTTATCTGGTTCAAGTGATAGAATTTTGAGAATGATTTTTTGCATTTGTATGGATTTGATTGTGAATATATGTGCTTCTCTGCTTTTGTTTGTAGTAATTTCGTTCGATGCATTTCTTTTCTGGTAGTTGGGCGTTTTAAATGTTTGACACTGAATGTGTCTTAAAGGTGTTGGTTTAGATTTTATCATAAATCGAGTTGTGTCATGTGTTTCCGATCGAGGCTAACACTTCAATGAGCTCAGAATAGTCCTTAAAGTGGAAATTATTGTTAGAATCAAATCGTATAGCACAAATTCCAAAAATTTGTCCCAAAAAAAATCCTAAAATTGAGCTTGATGTGGAACTTTTCTATTTTGAAGTTCAAAAACTGTAGTGTTTATTAATTGTCTACCTAGTCCTGAATTAAAAAGGGTGCCTCACCAATCTTGAATTGTAGCTCCATTTATTTTACATTTGAAAATAGAATCTGTTACTGTAGACAAAGACATTGCAGAATCCAGCAATTCATTTCCAAAATCACAATAAAGATCAGTTAATATCATTTGGGAAAGCGCCTAGAATTTCCCTAATTCCATTCATTATACTGAAAATTTTCTTTTTTTTCATCCTTTCTCAATGTCTCCATCCCATATAATAGATTCTAACCTTTAAATGTTGACAATGTAAACATTAGGGAGTTCATCGCTGTTCTCAAGTAGTATTCATGTCGTGGAGTTTAGATTGTAGGAATGCATAGCGTAGAGGATAATAGATAGCAGAATTTTTTTTTCTTTCCACGATAGATTACCTTTAGAAAGTTCCTGTTCATTAATATTACATTGGGATAGTTAAAAGATATGAGGTCTAGTTAATCTTCCTCCTCACTGAAGCCCATGCCCATATTGTTGCATTACTAGAGAGTATTAGTGTATGATGTTGTGCTGCATTCAGCTTGGATCGATTATTTCCATTGTTGATGTAAAGAAAGGCAGAACACCCTATTTGTTGATGAGTAGTGTTTAATGCTTGCTTGGGTAGAACCGCATGAAACGAGGTCAGGAATTCCAACTTGATTAAGTTCATACAAGTTGCTCCAGAACAGACAAAATCAGTTGGATTCACCCTGATATTTAGGGAGTGTGTTAGAAAGTATTCTGAGAATTTTATGGAGCACAGATCCCTACACATGTGATGAAGTTAATACTTGGCTCATAGCCCTGTTAAAAATATTTAACATATCTGGATGATAATTTTTATTCCTGATAGAAGAAAATGAGTTCCCATTAATCATAGAGTGAGATTTTAGATGCTACAAATATAAAGCACGTCAATAAATTTTTTAAACAGGAAATTTTAAAAAAAATAAATAAAATGAAGAAAGGGAATAATATAAGTAACTTGAATTGCATTGGATTAAAAGCTCCTAGAGGTAGTCCATGGTGCTTCGAAAGAGCCTGCTCCCTTTTCCATTAGGCAGTTTTATTGGATCAGGCTAGTATCAACCAAACAGTTTCAGAGCCTTCAATTATTTAAATATTGGTGTCTTATGATCATACACTCCTTTAGCTTTATTCTCGACTGAAAGAAGAATAAAATTGTTTTCCGCTATGTAGACATTCTTGATGATGACTCTGGCCAGGTTTCCTTTGTTTCTCTTGTTGCCCGTTATGCAAGTCCACAGACACATTTCCCAATCCTAGGATACAACGGGGAATTGTAGTTCAGTGACAAAATTAGTAAATTTATCCTATATGATTCATAATTGGGGCTGATATTGTAAAACTCCAATTAAGATTAGGAAAAAAAAAAAAAAAATACACCAATTTCATTGGTTACTTTATTTTGCAGTAATAGATATGTCAAAATTGTATTTCTGTTCTCAGTGCCATTAGGTGTTGGGGAAGAAGTTCTTCATTTGCCTTGTAGCTTAATAATTTCCTTGCAAACCTTACTCTCTTTTTTTTAATGGTGTTCATACATTTAAGTCGTTAAACATGAAAAATGTTTGGCCTGACAGGCGTCGCAGTTATATAATTCATTTGAAATCATGCTATTTTGCGATCATCTTATCTGTCTCATTATTGGGTATGAAATCATATGTAAATGCACTTTATAGTCCAACTGATTAATGGTCTTGTTTGCTGGAGAAGGAACTTTAGCGTAGCTATTTACAGTGCTTTTGTTGTATCTGATTTTTAGAAGAAAAGATGGGGAAGCTGCTGGAGTCAATATTGGTGTTTTGGATCATGCAAGCAAAACAAACGAATTGGCAATGCTGCCCTTGTTCCTGAACCACCGTTGCCTAGAACGGCAGCCCCAACCACTGAAAACTCAACTCACTCAAGCACCATACTACTACCCTTCATTGCTCCTCCCTCTTCTCCTGCATCTTTTCTTCAATCTGATCCTCCCTCTGCCACCCAATCCCCAGCTGCATTACTATCCCTCGCTTCTCTTTCTATCAATGCCTACTCTCCATCCAGTCCTGCCTCCATTTTCACTGTTGGTCCATATGCCCACGAGACCCAACTAGTTTCACCACCTGTGTTTTCTACCTTCACAACCGAACCATCAACTGCTGCTTTCACTCCACCTCCTGAACCCGTGCAGCTGACAACTCCTTCATCACCAGATGTGCCTTTTGCTCAACTTTTGACGTCATCACTTGGCCGAGCCAGAAGGAACAGTGGGATCAATCAAAAGTTCTCACTATCTCAGTACGAGTTTCAGCCTTATCAGCTATACCAAGGAAGCCCAGTTGGCCACCTCATATCTCCCGGCTCAGCAGTTTCGAATTCCGGTACCTCTTCGCCTTTCCCTGATAAAGCCCCGGTTATTCAGATACGTATGACAAAAGTCCACAAGCTCCTTGGGTACGAACATTTTTCCACTCGTAAATGGGGTTCAAGACTAGGTTCTGGATCATTGACCCCTGACGGTGTGGAACCAGTTCTAGAGAACCAAATTTCGGAGGTGGCATCACTTGATAACTCAGAAAATGGATCTCAAAATGAGGAAATTGTAAACGATCACAGGGTTTCATTTGAGTTGCCCGGTGAAGATACTCAAGGTTGTCTAGCAAAGGACCTGGTCTCATCAATTGAAAATGTGTCGGAATCTTTAGAAGGCGATTGTATTGGGGAAGCATTGAAAGAAATTCCTAACAAGGCTTCCCGGGAAGAGGAAGAGGAAGAGGAAGAAGAGCAGTGCCCTCAAAAGCGTCGTTCCATCTCACTCGGATCAATCAAAGAGTTCAACTTTGACAACATGGACACAGAAGTCTCGGACAAGCCCAGTCTCGGATCCGAGTGGTGGGCCAATGAAGAGGTGGTCGGGAAGGAGTTGGGCCCACCTCACGACAACTGGACTTTTTTCCCAATGTTGCAGTCAGGAGTCAGCTGATACCGCCAAGCATCAATGCATGAGCTGCAAAGTGAAAATTTGCTGAATCGATAGCTGAAGTAAAGGCAATTTTGGAGATAGAGAATCACGTGCTTGGAATCAGTATTAGATATAAACGAATGGATTATGATTACACCACCTTAACTCATAATGTAGCCATATTATTTCAATTCCCTCAACGCAGAGGGTAAATGTTTTCGTTTTGCACGGATTTGGTTTAGCGAGTTTTGTTGTGTTCATTTGTTTATTTTGTTTTTCTTCTTGTAATATTTCGTCTTCTGATATATACAGTAGTAAGCATCACATGTAGATGTATTGTGAATTCATCATTTTGTGTGTATTAAGATTTTAAAAAATGGTGATATCTTTCAGGCAAGGAAGGAAGAAAGAGTCTATTTCATTGTAGTGTCTAAACAACTTGTCATGATCTTGATCCTTTGTTACTCTTTTATGTTTATGTTTTTCAGCTTTTAATACAGACAAATTTTCATAAAAAAGTATACAAAAACTGTCAGCATTCATTGTGATAGAGTTTTGGCTCCTGTACAACATCAACATGAATGAATGTAATGTTACTAGTATTGGATTATATACACCTTTTTTTTGTAACCAAAAAAATATAGGGTAAATTACATATACATTTTTTTAGGTTTGCTTAAAATATAAATTGTCTCTTATAATTTTGGAAATTATAACTACCCATTTGTTAGAATTTTTTATTTAACATAATTAATAGAAAAAATAAAATTTCTAACTACTCTCCTATACAATAATAAAATTACCTGAATTATTAATCAAAATATATTTCTGACATCGTTAAAAATTATTAATTGAGTTGATAATTTATTAATAAAATTAGTCATTTGTTATGCAATTGAAACTTGAAAAAGTGAGATGTAATTTTCAGAATTATATGTGGTAATCTGTATTTTAATTAAATTTTAAGCGATGTATTTATAATTTATTCAAAAATATATATGCACTCTTTTCTTTTTTAAATTGTGGTTGAATTGTTTTTCTCTGTAAAATGGGTCCAATAACTCATCAGCATCTAATTTTATGGTTGCAATCAATACAGTTGGAGCCAGTCTGCCATTCTTGGTGCCCCTTGAACCCTATGTATGGTCCCAGATAAAACCAAATGAAATGGATCCAAAAGAAATGCTGTGTAAAAAATAAAAGCCTGGTTTAGTTTGTGTTATGAAGAGTTGTTTTTTAAATATTCCAAAAAAAAAAAACTAATTACAGAATTGACCCACTTTTCAAACTATTTAGGAAATTAACCTACTTTTTGAAATCGTATTGATTTTGAAATTGAAATTGAAATTACATCTTCAACATGCAATTTCACTTTAAAATCGCAAGTTGAAAATGCAATTTATGATGATATGGATTGCATTTTCAACATGCGATTTCAAAAGTAGGCTAATTTTCCAAATAGTTTAAAAAGTTGGTCAATTCTCTAATTTGTTTTTTTTTTTTTAGAATATTTCAAAAAAAAAAACTCGTGTTTTGAAATATTATTTTAAAAATAAATTTGTAATTTTTTTATAGAAAATTTAGAAATTTATTTGATTGTATATTTTGAAAATAGTTTTGGAATTTTGAAATTTGGGGTGTTTTGATTTTTTTTTTTTTGTAGTTGAATAGATGGATGTGAGAGAAAAAATAATTGATAATGAGAGAGGAAAAAGAAAAAGTGATTGATTAATGTGTAGTAGAGAGAAAAGTAATTTAATTTAATTTTTTTTTAATTTTAACCAAATGTTTTGAGTAGGGTGAGTAGCGGATATACCAATCCGCCTAAATCGAATTGATCCGCCGCATTTTGGACGGATGCGTGATGACGAGCAGACGGTTACGGATTATTTTTTCCAATTTGCCTAGTTTTGGACGGATGATGGAGTTGAGATTCCTTTGACTGCAACTAAATCGCCAAACCGCGAGTACCCCTAGTAATTTGTAAGACTTTGTTTTTCAATTTGTTTAGATATTCTGTTTGTGTTTTCAATTGAAAAATAATTTAAATATTCTGTTGAATATATTTTGTTGAAAAAGAGTTTTCAACTTGAATATATATTTTGAATTGAAAAAAATAAATTTATTATATATCTATATTTTTTTATTTTAAAATCTAATTTTAAAAATAATAAATAAAAAAGATGATATATGTTGGTTGGTTTTTATTTTTAAAAACAGATATAGATGTAACAATACAGAGGCATACAATCTCTACTACTGCTTTGTTGATGATTTTGGTGGTTTGAATTATTTTTATATTTTAAGAATCACATATTGTAATACTTTATGTGGATGAGGTATGCTGTGATTGTAATATATGGAGGATGCATGCAGTGATTGTAATATTCTAAAGTTTCAAACTTGCCTTCTTTGGTTGAGACATGCAGTGATTGTAATACTTTTTTAAATCATTGACTGTAATACTTTTTTTTTTTTTTAGAAAGTGCACAAGTTGAATTATGTTGAAAATTTATAAAATTTTAAACCGCCAAACCAATTCGCATCAATCCGCCAATCCACTCAATCCACATCCGCTGGATTGGCGGACAGATGCAGATTGATTTTCTCCAATCCACTAATTTGATGGACGGATAGCGGATTGAAAATTATGTGGTCGCAACCGACCCACGCTCACCCCTAATTTTGAAAGACATATAAAAATATGTCCAAAATTTTATTGAGTGCAACTGTAATAAAATGTTTTGTAGGGTTTTTGTTTAATAAAATATCAAAACTGTAATAACATTATATTTCACATTTTTTTTAAGACATTTATCATACCATATCATTTGGCACATGTTATAAAAAAAGGTGTGGTAAGTAATGCATAATAGTTTTAGGATAAATTACGAATACATTCTTAAAATTTGTTTTCAATATAAATTGTTTAATGTGATTGAGAAAATTACAAATACCTTTTGTTTGATGAAGCTATTTTTTGCGGATACAACATTAATTGCGAAATTTACTAACTGAATGAAATAATCTTTATGAATCCTATGAGCCTAAAGTGAGATCCACAACATAAAATATAAAAATTATAAATGATAACGATATGGAGACGAGCCATTTACAATTACAGTAGTGATTCGTCCCCTTCAAATTAGAGCTCTAATTGAGCTCTAGTAATGTAGGAAAAAAAAAATTATAAAAAAAAAAAATAACACCAAAACATCACATCAGATGAGACTCACACATACATTAGAACTATTGAAGCTCCTTTTCTAGAGCTTTCAAATATTTTCCTTACAACTATTATAAAAAGGGTGCTGTTATGGTGTGTAACCCCTTAAGGTTGCACACCATATGCAACCAACACAAAAGGTGTAATGGAAGGTATAAACATAAAACAGAACAGCAAACAGAAAGGCATAAGTATAAGGTGTAAGTTGCACACTTAAGAAAAGTCTTTATAAAAAATGATAGTTGTGAGGGCTGAGCGTGCATAGCATATGGCTTCAATTCTTATTACTTAAAAGTAGTGAGTCTATACACTTAGACTATCTCCGGCAAGAATAGTCAAAATAGCTAATCAAAATTTTACGTTACTATTTTAGTTAGTTATTTTTTTAGTATACACTTCAACAAGACTATCTACTTTAGCTATCTTCTATTAAAATATTCTTATACTTTAACTACCTTCTTTCCCATCTAAAAAAAAAAACTTCTTTCAAATTATTATTTTTTTCATTCTTTTAAATATAATTATATTTTTGTGAAAGTTATATTTTTCTACTGTCGTATTTTTCAAACGGTTATATTTTTGTAACGGTTATATTTTTTCAACAGTCATATTTTTACAATGGTCGTTTTCTTCTAACAGTCATATTTTTGTAACGGTCATATTTTTTCACTTTTCATTTATAAATAAGACATTCCCTCTCATTTGATCTTACCCTCAACCCAATTTTGTACTTCATCCAAACTTCCATATCTCTCTCTATGGCTTCTAATTCTCTTTATGATATCCTTGTAAATGACTCAGACTTCTCTAAATTTGATGATGATTTGGAGATACTCAAAGTTGTTGCTATGGATGTAGAACTACTAGATAGTGAGATAGGATAAAGCTCACGTCGTGGTTCTGTTCGAGGTCGTAAAGTCATTCATTGTGACCATATTCAAGGCCCTGAAAGGCTTTTTCTCGACTATTTTGCTGAATCGCCTGTATATCCTCCTGAGTTATTTCGAATGAGGTTTCAGATGAAGCGTTCACTTTTTCTTCGAATTCAAGCTGCAGTAGAAGCACACGACCTATACTTTCTCCAAAAAAGAAATTGTGTTGGAAAACTTGGTTTGTCTTTTCTTCAGAAAATAACTATTGCACTTAGGATGCTTGCTTATGGAGTAGCCGATGACTTTTTACACCTTAAACTTGATCTAATTAACCTATCATCTCTCTACTACTGTAAATATAAACTTAAGGCCAAAACAAAACTTTAGTCCCAACCAACACTTTAAAGCCCTACCAAGCAATGTGTAATATTTTTGTCAAAATCAACAAATAATGAAACAAGAATGCAACAATCTGAACATTTGCTTTCATATTCTCCAATTTCTTATCCACTATTCATGACATAAACAAACAGAAAGGACAAAACTTATTACCTCCCTTGAACAGAAAGTTTGAGAAAAAGATAGAAAGGATGAGAGAGTTCGTGAGTTTTGGAATGCATTCTCTATGGATTTGTTGGTAAGGTACTAATAGAACTTTTAGCACCAAAATGAGGGAAAAACTTTACCGCCAAAAATAGAACTCAGGAGGTAAAAACAAATAAAAAATTGAAAGGCCCATGAACAGTACTTCGCTTGTCCTGGTGAGGTACTGCAGCTCACAACCATCTCAGCGATGCTTGAGCAAGTTTGCTGGAGCAATTTTTCACTCTTCCAAGCTCACTTCTATGGCTGAAAAGAGAGAATAGTTATATTGCTGGAGATGCTCTTAGAAAGGTAAATTACAGAGGAGAATTCACATATCAATGTTTTCTCTCTAAAATAATTATTAACTTATGAAAAAATTTATCATTTTGATTAATAAAATTTGTAAGTTAATCATTAATTTGAATTTGTTTTTAATAAACATACACTGAAATGTTAATTTCCCAATTACAAATACATTCTCGAGATTTGCTTAAAATACAAATTATATCCTGTGATTTTAAAAATTACAAATACTTCATTGTCGGAATTTTTTTATTTAATAGAATTAATAAAAAAAATGAAATCTTAACTATTCTCTTATACAACAATAAAATTATTTAAATTGTCAATTGAAGTATAATTGTGATATCATTAAAAACAGTTAATTGACTTGATAATTTATTAATAAAATAGATCATTTGTTATGTAATTGAAAACTTGAAGGGGGTAAGATGTAAT